TTCTGATTTTAATTTATCTGCATATATATATTACTTAGAATTGTAATGGTAATTTAAAAAAAAAATCCTACAAATGATTTATTTACGGATTGATGCATTTTATTAATAACGATTTAATTATATAGCTTAATACCTAAATAATTGTCCAATTATATCTTTTTAATTTGAATAAGTTCCTACAGTAATTTTTTGGATTATTCAGGTGCCTAACGTTACAAATGTGATTTATTTAGGTGTTCAAGACATAACGACCGTTAGTTTTCTCTGTTAAGTGACATGTGCCATGATCTGGTAATTTTAAAATCTATTTTCTAAAATATATTTAAAATATTATTATATTTATAAAAAAACTAATTTCTTTTAAATTACAAAAAATCTCAAAATCAATAAAATCCCCAAACCCTAACACTAACCTACCATCGTCACCCTTTCCGGACATGACCGTCGCCGCCGCTATAGTATTTACCATCATACTAGTTATACGCCGTCGTAGTTGTCGTCGATTGATCGTCAAAATCGTGTGAGATCACGATTTTCATCCTAGGGTTTGTGGGGTATAAAACGTCGATTCGCCGTCAATCGGTCACGATTTCATATGGGTTTTGGTCGATGGGGGAGATGAGATTGGGTGGAGCTTCATTGACAATAAAGGGCGATGGGTGACATAGGTTTAGGGGTTGGAATGAAGGTTTTCAATTTTTTTTGTTATTTCAAAATTTATGTGTGTTTTAATATTATATATATATATAATTTTATTTTTTTTAAAATTTTATATAAAAATTTTAAAATTATCTTGTGATACATGTCACTTAATAGAGTAAATTAACGTCGTTGACGGCCCGAGCACCTAAAGGATAACGTTTGTAATGTTAGGCACATGGATGGTAAAAAAAAATACTACATGCACCTATTCAGAAAAAATGATATAGTTTGAGCTCTTATTTGAACATTAAATCTAACTATATTTATAACTATTAAAAAACTAAAACCAAACTTTATACATTAAATCTTAAAAAATAAAATTCTTAAACCACAAATTATAAAATATTAAATCATTAAACTAAAGAAATCTTAAATCAAGATTAAAAAAACCTCGGAAGACGTGTTTTTTTTTTTTGGTAAAATGTACAAATGGTCTCCATGTATGGCTAGAACTCAATTTCTACCCATTCTACAATTGATCCTAATTAACTAAGGGTTTAAAATGAGTTATAAAATGGTTTCTAATTATATGGAGTTGCTTTGTTAAGTTTTTTTTTACTATTAAAAGTTACAAAATGGTCATCCCACTATTCATTATGTTCAAATTTTGTCATTTTTTGTTAAAAAATTAACGGTCGTCTGAGCTGGACGTTAACATGTTGATTGAGATATGATATTCGTTTGAGATTATGAGATCAAATTTTATTATAGCTCAGTCAGCATGTTGACGTCGAACTCAAACTCTCAGCTCAAATTAACGTCCAGTCAGTAGATTAGCGTCCAACTTAGACATGTTTAGAACATAATGAATAGTCGGGTGACCATTTTGTAAATTTTAATAGTCAAGGGACTCAACAAAGCAACTCTCTATAGTCGAAGCATCAATTTGTAACTTTTAATAGTCGAGAGACTCAACAAAATAGTATCTTATAATCAGAGGACCATTTATATAATTTATCCTATTTTTTCTAACAATTCCTATATAAGGAAGGCGGAAGGAGAATTTTACTTCTAATGGGTATTAAAACTACAATTTTGCTTCTAAGTTTGCTTCTAAGGAGAGTTTTTAACAATCTACTATAAAATTATTAACTGAAAGACGTATTTTATGAATCGGGTTTTTAACTTATTTATGATAAGTGTCACGTGTAAAAAGAATATGTATAGTATGTAACACCCTAAATCATATTTGTTGAAACAATTGACTCATGATGTTACATTCGAGCCCTTGAGAGACCTAATAAACTTGCTATTCTCACTGTCATTAAATTTGTCTATTGTTGACTTTTTTTGTTAATTTTTTTAATTTTAACTCAATATTATTTAAAATTTACTATTAATAAAAATATAAAAAATATATTTTAAAAATTTTAAATCAATTAATTTTAAAAACTTAATTATTTAAAATATTTAAAATAATCATAGTTAAAGTCTAAAAATTTAATTTTAAAAAATCGATAATTGACGTTTTAGTAAGACAGAAAAAATATAAATTTTTCATTGAAAATGTTGAAATCACATTTTAAAACATGACATCATCTATTAGAAAGTTTTAATAAAGATATTTTATATAAATACAGAGATCTGACACACTCAAGTTTAAATAAAAATAATCAATACATATGTCCTTTATAAAAATCAACATTGCATTGAAAATAAGTGTACTAAAATTCCTTGACGACAGTACTCCTTTAATCCCTAATTTATTGTCGTGAAAATGATAAACAATTAAATACTGAGTTACACGAATTCAATAATACACAATTTATTTTATACAGTTCGTTCAGCACATAAACATAGACAAGTAAGTAAGAATATGTTTCAATACATGGTATAACACATTATGTACAATAGACTTAGGGTTATTAATTATCCACTCGTGTTCAATTCATTATTCCACATATCGATGTTTCATTCTCATCTTATCATGCTAGGCACCTTATCATTTATTAATTGGTCATTTCGTATCATGTACGTTATATTGTCATTCATGACTGCTACATAATTAGATCTCGCGTGTTCGAAATGGTTTCCTAAACATCATTCATGATCGCTACATAAGAAAATATTGGGTGTTCGAATAATTTTTCTGAGTGCCACTCATAATCGTTAGTTAGTCAATTTATAGCGTTCGTGGTTTCAATGGCACTCTTATACGAATCACCTTATTTATTAATAATTAATGTTCGACTTGATTCTCATTTATCATGTTATGGAAGTGTGTATTACTCTTTCAGGTCTCATTCCATATTTATTAAGCTTTAGTAACATACCCGAACAATTCAAGTAACTAAGTGGCTTTTTTTAAATCTAAATGGGTATCGATACTCACCTTATGACGTTGATACCGAAACAGGTTCAATGTTGCTCAATATCGATACCATACAATTGGTATAAATATCCAATCTCATGGTATTGATATCCTAGGAAGATATTGATACCAGAAAATAGCTCGATGTTTGATTAATATCGATACCCCACCCAAAGTATCGATACTTAACTTCATGGTATTGATACCCTATGGAGATATCAATATTAGAAAATAGCTCGATGTTGCCTAATTTCGATAACCCACCATGATATCAATATTATATGAATGATATCGACACTACATAAATAGGTATCGATATTCTATGCCTAAATTGCTTAGATTTCTTCTTTAGATTTAAAAGTATCGATACTACAAGAACAATAATGATATCAAAGTATAAAATTAGTCTACTAAGGTCTGATAAATCACCCTAACATAGCTCTAATAATCTCCTATGACCCTCAAATCAATCCTTGTGGCCATTAGTATTATCCATACATCATTTAACAATACGAATAATCAATTTTTAGGTCAAATTCGTCACATATAGGTCAATCCAATATATTGTCATATCACACACCAAACACACATTTCACCTTACGAGTTGTTACATTTACGATTCATATAAATCCACTAAGAATATAAAATGTATTATCTTAAATAAAAATACCAAAAATAATATACTTTGATTTTCTCTTCAAACTCTCTCTTTATCGCTAAATTGGGATGAATCTTCTCCCTCTTTCACTAAAAATTTAATAGAAAAATTATAACATACCTAGGGGTGGAAAGAAAGATATAATACAAACTCTAAACTATAAATCCTCCATAAGTCTTCTAAAATCAAAACTCATATAAAATTATAGTTTTCCTTTCAACCTTTCTTTATAGAGATTTACATTTCAAAATGGAACTTATAGCATGAAGAAGAGGATGATTACTTTAGAAGTGAGTTCTAGCGATACCAAGAACAAAAGATGGTGAAGAAAGCCTGTGGAGAAAGAAAAATGGCCAAGTAGAGAAAGGTTAAAAAAAAGAAAAAGAAAATGAGATCACTTTGTCCCCTACATCACCAAACCTAGGGATGGCAGTAGGACCTGAACCTGACGGGGAAACTCGAAATCCGGTCAAATTCGGGTCGAGTTGAATGATATCGGGTCGGGTCGGGTATAAGAGATTTTTTTCGAAGATTTTTTCGGGTAGAGTTCGGGGCAAGGTATCCCCGACCCGCCCCGCCCCGATTATATATATATATATATATATATATAATATTTTATATTTTTTTTCTATTAATTATATATATATAATATTTTATATATTTTATATTAATTATATATAAAATATTTTCGGGTTCGGGTTCGAGTTCAGGTTTGGGTATAACATTTCGGGTCGGATTCGAGTTCAGGTTTGGGTATAACATTTCGGGTCGGGTTCGAGACAAAAAAAAATATCCGACAGGACGCCCCGATAAGAAAATCCGTCGAAAATCAAGTCGGAGATTCATTTTGGGTTCGGGACGAGGTGAGCAAAACGGGCGAACCCGATAGGTTGCCCTTCCTAACCAAACTCACGTCTAAAACAAGGTTAAAGGCAAAAAATATTTATTTATTTTCTTTAAAGGGAAATTTATTCCTTTGGTCCTTATTTCCTCCCTTATTTAAAAGCACCCCTTAAGTAACTAATTTGGCCTTCAGTTCCTTCCCGAAAAGGCCTAAATCCATAACTAACTAATTTAGGTCAATTCTCAACTTAAACTTTTTGATTCGTTAGAAAACATTATTTTGATAAATAATTAAATATTATTTGAAAATTTTCTATATTCAAATAAAATAGACTTGATGATACATACATGAACAAATACAACAAAGGGAAGAATTCAGAATCCACAAGAGAGAAGACAAACACAAAAATAATAGACTGAAAAGAGAAATAGAGGCAGAGCAGCAACAGAAGAGGAGCCTTCCTCAATTTCAAATTCATTTTACAATTTTTCTTGAAGCAATAATTTTGTGGGGAAATCCTACTTTTTTTTCTTCTCTGGGATGATTGTATTTTCACTGTAAGATTTCTTCTTCCTCCTCCTCCACCTTTCATGTTTTCTTTTACTTGGTAATTGACATCTATTTTATCTTACCTTTTAGGACTTCTGAGAAAAAATATAGTGTATTTGTTTAGATCTTTAAAGTCAGGCAGCAAATTCCTCTCAAAGTTCCAATTTGAGTATGTATGTGTAAACTCATATATATTGCCTTTCTCTATCTCTGATGACTCATCTGGATTTTACTTGAACCAAAAACAGGAAAAAAACCAGAGTTGATTTTCATCATCTCTTTGAGTTTCACATCATAAACCATTTTAATGGTATCGTTCTCTTGTACAAAGAAATTATCCGGGTTCTTTCAACATTTCTTCCTTCTTTTCTTCAACGGTGTTTTATTTATTTATTTATTTCCCGAGTCAAGAAAATTAAAAACTTTTTTTTTTTGCTGGTTTTGATAGCAGAGATGGAGAAAGAAGAGAGGAACCAAAGGACAAGCAAAACAATAAATTCAGAGCTGTTTCTACAGTGGGGAAACAGAAAGAGGCTAAGATGCGTGAGAGTTAAAGACCCTAAAAAAATATCTCATAAATCGAATGTCATGGTCCGTAGAAGAATCACTTGTCGGCTTTTAGATAAAGATTCATCCCCTTCTTCTCGATCCAATCATCGTCTCACTAGGTAAGAGAAGATCAGTAATTTTTTTTCTTTTTGGATTTTAAATAAAATATGAATTTTCTCGGTACCTCTTGTTTGTTTGGGATCATGAGATTTTCTTCCGTTTTTTAATACTTTTTTTTTTTGGATTTTTTTGTTAGCATTTTGTTTGATTTCTGAAAAACTGTTAGGTTGGGAAAAGAATGAATTTTGTTTTAATTTCTTTCATCCAAACTAGCTGCGAATGGAGCTCAGCCACCTAGTGTGTGTGAGGAATTTCCCGAGAAAATGAGGTTGGGAACCTTGTTTTCCCTTCCCCCACTGTTTGGTTGCTGGGAAAAAGAGAGAAGGCAAGTTTGAATTTGTTTGTTTTATGCCATTTTAATTAGATGGCTACTATATTTTAGTCCCTTAGGGTGTTAAGAGTTTCCCTGGTAAAATTTGTACAAATTAGCAAACTAGTAAAAGTTTGTGAAATTCTCTTTTTGTTTGTTTGATTGTAGGAATTCCGAGGCAGCTATACTCCGGTCGACTACAACCGAGCACCGGAAAAATTCATCACAAGAGGAGGAAGATCGCTACTACACAACAAGGGGATCGGCGGTGAGTCTAATGGATGAGAATGGGAAGGTTGCAGTGGATTGTAGTAATGGAGATGATAAGAAAGCACTAGTGTGGCCAAAGTTGTTTATCACTTTGTCAAGCAAAGAGAAAGAGGAGGATTTTATGGCGATGAAAGGGTGTAAACCTCCCCAAAGACCTAAAAAGCGAGCCAAGATCATCCAAAGAAGCTTACTTGTAAGTAACATTGATGGATTCATGCTAAACTTTCAATAATTGAACTATCGAGTTCGAGTCATATGCAGTTTTGTTGTTCCAAGTCTTCATTTTGCTTGAAGTACTTGTATATTTGATGTTCGTGTTTGACATATATCCGGATATGAGTAGACCTCCAACTATATGAAAAAACCTTTTAAAGTTTGAACATTCCTGTTTCAACAGTCACAACCAAGTCCGAGTAACATAGTTTTGTATCTGGATTGATGTAGGTAGGACTGAGATTTAATCATATATCTTTGGGATTTCTTTGCAATTTCGGTTAATTATTAGGTATAATTTTTGAAATCATTT